ACTGACGGTTTACTTTCTGTGTCACATACACTCCTTCTATGGTACGGGAATAATAAGACCCGCCTCGCTGGTGCTGGTGACATGATCATGTCCTCAGTTCATAGCTGAGTTTCTGACACATGGTAAATTTTTAACAAATGATAATTTCCTTTTTCTTCCCTTTCTTATGCCTACATGCTGACGTTTTTTCTGCCAATTCCTAACTAGTTTTTACTATTAAGGATAAAATGTAAGATACTGCCCATTGACTGTACTTCAGAATCATAGCTTGAGATAATCTTACAGTGCATTTATCTAAGGTTAGGCTAGGTAAATACATAAATATGTAGACACAGACACAGATATGCACGTGCATATGTCAATACAAAAGGAAGTGTTAGGAGACCGGAAATCCTTTTTCTACACCAGTGATCATTAATAGTTTTAATATCATTGTGATAAAGATTGTTTGACAGACTATGAGTTTATCTTGTTTTATTTCTCTCTAGGTGAAAAAGGAGCAACAGAGGCCTTTAAACTAGACAAGAGGTTGACTCTCAGCTCCACCATTTACTAGCTGTGCGACCCTGATCATAAACTCGATCCTCTGGGCCTTGGTTTCCTCATCTAATCACACCCACTACCTACAAGGTTGTTTAGAAAGTAGAAACAATGTATGTGAGGCATGGAGCACCATACTTTGCTTAAAATAAGTGCTAAAATCATGATTATTATAGTTATTATTTTCAAGATTATAAGACAAAACTGTACAAATATCTCATTACAGAAAAGACACTGTTACTCTCAACTCTATTCATGAAAAAAGAAAATCCTTAAATTAGAGTTTTTTAAATCTTCAAAATAGTATCAGTTAGATTTAACTGTAGACAACAGGAGCCATTCTTATTATTTTAAGCAGAAAGAGATTTTATACAAAGAATAAATGCAAAGATTTTACACATATCATCTGGAGAAGCAAACAGATTCTGGGCTGGTCCATCAGAAGAACAATACGAAACAAGCCAAACTTGGGGAGCAGCTCCTGTCCATAAAGAACACAGGAAAGNGTCTGGAGAAGCAAACAGGTTCTGGGCTGGTCCATCAGAACAATAATACGAAACAAGCCAAACTTGGGGAGCAGCTGCTGTCCATAAAGAAAACAGGAAATCAGGAAAGGGGCTCAGCAGCCATTGGTTCTAGGAAGATGTACAGTCCATCAGGGCAGGGAGCCAGGGCCATCTCGCTGTGCTCTAGCGCGGGGCTGCTACATAAAAGGATGCCTACNCAGGGCAGGGTGCCAGGGCCATCTCGCTGTGCTCTAGCGCGGGGCTGCTACATAAAAGGATGCCTACGTAAATTTGAATTTCATATCAACAACAAGTAATTTTTAATATAAGTGTATCCTATGCAATGTGGAATACTATACTAAAAAAATTGTTGTTGATCTGAAATTCAAATTTAACTGGGAGTCCTGTGTTTAACTGGGTCCCTGAATGACTCCTCCTTTATCTGGAATGCAAATCTGACCGGCTCTCCTGTGTTTGTTTGTGTTTTGCTAAATCTGACAGCTACAATCTAGAGCCACCCAGAGCCTACTGTTATAATAGCAGCAGAAATGGCCTTTCATGATGCTGCCTCAAGTGAGTCTCAGGATTGTATCAAATTGGCAGAAAGCAAATCACATGGGAATTCTAGGTGAGAGGACATTTGGGAGACACAACTCTTAGCTTTTCATTGTTCATGTTATAGAAGGCACGCAGGAAGTACGAAGGAACACATGAGAAGCAGACAACTCACCACAATGGCTACACTATAATATTGAGTAATTGCATCTATAATTCGTTTCATATTTAACAAAGACATGTAGCTTGAGCATCTGTTACTTTCCAGGTGCTAGAGGTATTTTTAAATACCTATAAACAAAAAGAAACAATACTAAACAAAAAGAACAAGCTTTTCACAGAGCTTATATACTAGTAAAGAAAAAAATACAATTAAGACAACTACAAAAAATATAATTAACAAAAACCCTTGTAAATTACAGAAATGCATAAAAGTGAACGTAAGAACTATTTATAATTCTACCACTCCTTCCATCTTGATGCAGGAATAAAGATCTTTTCCTGTTCTCCCCTCAAGCTTACCTCCCAGAGATCATCGTTAGTAAAAGTTGCATGTACACGGTACATAAACTAAACCCGGTCACTAGGTCCTGCCGTGGTGGGAAGTGCCAAGGCTCAGTTCATCTGCTGAAGGGGTCAACACTTGCAAAGCTAATTAGAAGACGAAATCCAGGCAACTCTTTCCTCCTCCCTTGGGGTCCTCAGAGCCTGCTTCAGCTCCCCCGTCCATCTGGGCGTCCCCCCCTGCT